TTTTAAAAAAAAAACAGAATCTTGCTTACGTGGCCTAGGAAAACCTTATGCTTTAACTGTCAAACTCTATTATTTGTTGTCTGATTTCTGCAAAATGGGTAAGTGCAGGGCTTGTCTCAAGTCCTGGCTAGGGTAGTCTGGGAGACTGGATCATCTCAGCTAGCCTCCTCAAAACTGTACTGAGCAGTATGTAGTCCAAAGCTGATCTCTAGCTGTCATTGTTTGGCTTAATGGTTATCATAGTTCTGGTGAAATAGTTGTGGGGCTCCTTTTGTTTGTTTGCAAATCCCCAACCTCAGCCTCCAGACTGCTGAGATTAGGCATGTGCTAGTATACCTAGTTCTCCTTCAACTGCATTACATTCTTTGATGCCAAGAACACTCTTCAGCTTCTTTTGTACACAACCTCTCAGTACAGCTTTTAAAATCCCTGGGAAAGGTCAGTGAGATACCTCAGTGGGTAGAGTTACTTGCCACCAACCCTAACAACCTGAGTTCAATTTCTGACCTACATGGTAAAGGCACAAATCAACTCACATAAAGTGCCATTTGACCTTCACATATGTGCCATGCTGCATGTACACATACACTCAAAATAAATAATTCTTTAAAAAAAAATTCCAGGGCAGGGCCTGAAGAGATGGCTCAGCAGTTAAGAGCACTGGCTGCTCTTCCAAAGAACCAGGGTTCAATTCCCAGCACCCACATGGCAGTGCACAACTGTAACTCCAGTATAGACACAACACCAATGCACAAAAAAATAAAGATAAATAAATTAAAACAATAACAAAAATTTCAGGGGAGAAATTTTGCCTAAAGGAAACAAAATTTCCTCATCAACACTCCCCCACCAAATCAAAAAATATTCTGAGGTATTCAGTGATTCTTGTAGCTTTGTGAACCCCAGGTTAGTTAGCTGTACAACAAAAATATACACCCTACTTAAAAGGGCCATATAGAGAGCGAAAGGAAACAGGTGGCAGTGGTGGTAGTGGTGCATCCCTTTAGTCCCAGCTCTTGGGAGGCAGAGGCAGGCAGATCTCTGTGGGTTCAAGGCCAGCCTGGTCTACAGAGCGAGTTCCAGCTCTATTACAACAAGGCTGTTACACAGAGAAACCCTGTCTTGAGAAAAGAGAGAGAGAGAGACTAACAAGAAATATGAAGCTGGGCATGGTGGCACACGCAGAGGCAGGCTTATCTCTGAGTCCAAGGCCAGCCTGGTCTACAGAGAGTTCCAGGCCAGCCAAAACTACATAGTGATCTGTCTCCCAAAATAAAATCACTAACAGGCCTTTCTCTTTGAAGCTGGAGAGGGTAAGAAAAAAGGAATTGAGTAAATGTCTGACAACAGACTAGAGGAACAATCCCCTCACCTCTTCAATATTTAAAAAAAAAAAAAAAATCCTTTAGCTCTATTCTCTAACCTCAGGCAACCAGACACTAAGGCTACTGTTGACATGTGGGTGGCAAGAATATGCCTGAAATTCCCTGCCCACACCACAAAAAGAACACTATGCTATGTCAAGGCCAGGTTTCAGGCATCTAACTAGAGGACAAATGATTTCAGGAGAAATGTCCTCCTGCTCTACACTCCCCAAGATTTTGTAACCTAGACTGTTCTCAAACAACTGTCACTCCTCCTGGCCCCACCTGTTAAGTGTGTGGATTGTTAACATATGATAGCACCCTGAGAGGAGTGGTCTCATCAGGATGCCAATGCCCCCCTTGAAGCAACCCTTCTTCCTGCTTTAATCTCCCACTTAGCAGGCTCTTTTTTTTTTTTTTTTTTTTGGGGGGGGGGTTTTTTTGGTTGATTTTTGAGACAGAGTCTCTACATAGTCCTGGCATCATGTAGATCAGGCCGGATCTAGAACTCAGGGATTCTCCTGCCTCTATCTTCCAAGTGCTGGGCTTAAAAGTTCATGCCACAATATTGGGCTTTAAACTCTCTTATCTTTTACAAGTGACCTACATGAACCACAGCCCTTTGGAAGAAGAGACAGGAAGATCACAAGTTCAAGATCAGACTTACCACATAATTATGCCTGAGGAGAGAGAGCATGGCTACATGAAACTCTGGCTTGAGAGGGGGCTGTCTGGAGGAGACAGTACCTCTCAATTTTAAATAGTTTGACTAGCTCACTAAATAACTCTTTTAGAGATTTTGTACCTGAGCAACTTTATTTTTACAACCCTCGGTGTAAAAAAGGAACACCACAAATTCACCACACTTATATATAGACAAAAACTGCTTGTCTTACACGAATGGGAAAAAACAAGTCTATAGGCTAGGTAAAAGGCTTCCTTACAATAAATGTTACTATGCCACCATCTGTAAAACAGGTTCTAAAAGCACACCAGGCCTATGAATGAACTAATGAATACTGGGAAGCATTTACTAGACGGTTGTCATTTTACAGCTATAAATACCAGGTTCAAACTACTGGTAAACAAAAACCTTTTGTTTTGCATTTTAATATGGCATAAAGGGTTGAACTGTCATTCCATCACTACTGCATACCACAAAATTGAATGAAATTCAATATTCTGGCTCTAAGAATTTATAGCTGATAACTTGCCTAGACCATGTCATGGTACTTTACTTTTACAAACCTATGCCAATTTTGCTGTATTTTTATTTCCTTGATTAACATTAATTTCTGGGCAGTGCCTGGCCTTACCTAAAATTGGGATATAAACAAGACTCATAAATAAGACATTATAAAAATGAGGCACTGCAATTTTGCAATCAATTAAAAAAAGAATATTTTTTTCCTTTTGTTTTTTTGAGACAGGGTTTCCCTGTGTATCTTTGGCTGTCCTGAAACTCACTCTGTAGACCAGGCTGACCTCGAACTCAGAGATCTACCTGCTTCTGCCTCCCAAGTACACTGGGATTAAAGGTGTGCACCATCATGCCTGCCCCCCATAAACAAATTTTTAACAGTCTTTAATTATGTGTACATGTCTGTGGTGGGTATGTGCATGTGCCCTTGGAGAAGTGTCAGATGCCCTAGAACTAGACTTCCAGGTAATTGTCAGAAACCTGATGTACATACTGGGAACTGAAAGGGGTCTGCTGGCAAAAAGAGTACAGGGTCTAGCCTGGAGCCATCTCTCCAGCCCCATGTTACTCCTTGTTTTGTTTTTAGAGACAGGCTTCTCTGTGTAGCTATGACTGTCCTAGAACTCAGATTTCCACCTGCCTCTTGTCTCTGAGATTAAAGGGGTTCTCTACCACTACCTGGCCCCATGCTGTTTCTTTATAAGCTATTTTCCCCCCCCAAGTATCACAGATTTATAAAATGGTGAAAACTAGGGCTGGAGAGATGGCTTATCAGGTAAAGTATACTGGCTGCTCTTACAGAGGACCTAGGTTTGATTCCCATTACCCAATCAAGTGGCTCACAACCATTTGTAAATCTAGTCCCACATGATCTGATACTCTCTTCTGGCCTCCAAGGGCACCAGGTATACACATAGGGCACAGATATATATGCAGGCAAAACACCTCTATGTGTAACATAATCTTTAAAATTTTAAGTTTAAACTGAACTGGATATGGAGGTACATACCTGTAAATCCCAGCACTCAAGAAGCTGAGTCAGGGAGATGACCTCTTTGAGGCCAGGCTCTCAATGCACACACACACATACACACACACACACACACACACAGAGAGAGAGAGAGAGAGAGAGAGAGAGAGAGAGCCCATTTCCATCTAACACCTTTTTGTTGTTTTGTTTGTTTGTTTTTGAGACAGAGTCCCATTGTGTAGTCCTAGCTGGCTTGGAACTCAGTATGTAGACCATGCTGGTCTCCAACTAATCTACCTGCCTCTGTCTCTTGAGTGCTGGGATAAAAGGTATGAACTATATAACTTGTTAAATTTGCAGTCCCTTAGCCCCTTGTAGTCTCTACTACAGAGTCAAGTATTTAATGTTTTTCCTCCCTAGAAGTTATTTTGCATTTTCTTTCATTTCCCCACGTAGAGATAAAATAGGGACAGCACCTTTCATACTCTCTATTATATGCTAGCAGCAATAAATGCTCCTGGAATGACTGACTCGGCAGCGGAAATGAAGCTAGTCGTGCAATTATTTCTAAAGCAAGCAACTGGCTTTTCATTTACAATATTCCATTACCTTCAACATGCACAAGTCTTTGGAGATGAGATTCAATTTTATGTCAGTTGCATCAACTCATATGAAACATAGTTCACAGATAACATTTATATTTAAGGAAAATAACTGACTATTCACATATATCGTGTAATGGTACGGTTTCGGGATTTTTATAAAATGCCTACTGGTCTTGAGGCAGCATGCCTTCGAGTGGTAGGAAGCTGGCACCAGTCTCTTGCAAAAGGGGCGAAACTCTAGTTGGCAGTAAAATGCTCAAACACGTGAGCCTCCACTGTTAAACAAGGCTCATTAACCACACAAACTTGCTGTCTCAGCTCTCTGCCTTCCATGAAGTGCTATGATCTCCTCTGGTTATTGTTGAGAGCCAATGATGGGTTAAATTCCCATAAATTAACCAGTGCTTTGGTGGTTTGCCCAAACAAACTGCTGGCAACGGTGTGGATGAATTTAATAGACCCGCCCGCCCCGGGAGCCCGAGGTGACTTAAGAAAGTGCCCAACCGACGCTTCTCAGCAGGCAAAAAGGAGACTACAGAACTCGAGCCGATCGCCCTCTCCGTCGTTTGCGCTTAGTGTCAGCTTATCGTGCAAGGGGGTGAGCTTCGCACGCGCCTGCTGCTCTCCCCCCTCCAAATCTCTGCTGAGTCTCGCTGAGGGGCGGCAAAGCCACACTTCTGTGTCTACCCAACTTTGTCCTCGAAGGGTGCATCAGTTTTTCCACACTCCAGAGCCCCAGAAGAAGAGATCTGCCGGCTAAGGCGGAGGGAACCGGCTCGCCCCGCACAGGCGTCAGGGTGGCAGAAACAAAGTGCGCGCTGGCGAGCCCAGACCGCCACCGCCCGCCCGGCCCCGCTCACCCTCCAGCAGCACCTCCTTGCCCGCGCGCTTCAGCGCCTGCACGGCCTGGTCGTGGGTGGCCTGGCGCAGGTCGGTGCCGTTCACCGACAGGATGGCGTCGCCCAGCCGCAGCGCCCGGCTCTGGTCGGCCGCCAGCCCCGGGAAGATCTTGGAGATGAGGATCGGCATCCGGTTCTCGCGGCCGCCCTTGATGCTGATGCCCAGGCCGCCCGCCTCCTGCTTCACCACTCGCACTCGGCGCACGGGCGGCGAGGCACCCGCCTCCCCAGCGGGGTCGCGGGGCGGTGCGGGAGGGCTGGGCGGCCCCAGGCCGCGGTTCGGGCTCCCGGGCAGCGAGTCGCCGCCGCCGCCGTTCGGGAGACCGTTGAAGGCGGCAGCCGGCGGCTCGGGCTCCACCGCCGCGGCGTCGCCCGTCAAGCTCAGGCTCTCGCCGCTGAGTTCAGCCACCACCCGCACCCAGCGCTCCCTTAGAAGGAGCTCCACCAGCCCCGCTTTGGTAGCCCGCGTCCACACCGCCATGGCCGGCCTGCTCCCGTGGCCGCCGTCGCTGCAGATCCCTGGATTCCAGTCAGGCAGCCTAGGCGCTTCCCCCTTCCCGCCCGAGGGGGGCGGACCCCTCCCCTCCCCCCCCGGCGATTTATTATTCATGAGGGCCACGCCCACTTTCCGGAGGGGCGGAGGAAGGCCGGCGCGGCGGCTTCCGGGAGGTGAAATTGCCCTGGATCGCGGAAAGTCCTTGGTAGGTGGGCAGCAGCTCGCGGGCAGCTCGGCTCCTCGCAGTCCTTCGAGTTGGTTCTCCGTGACCCCTCCCCCCCTCGAGCTCCTGATTTCTCTCTAAGAGCTGTCAGGGCATGGAGAGCGAAGTTAGGATGGAGAGGCACTTTGTGACCCTGCAGGGCCGGGTGGCGCATTCGTTCCTGCATTGATTGGTTCTTTGCAAATACTCTAAGCGCTCAGAGGTGTGCTGGAGCTCCTTTTAAGGCCCTGAAGACGGCACAGCTGAGAGAGCCTGTGGTCTGGTGGGAAAGAAAAGCAGAGGCAACTAACTAGGTGTGATTCTCTGTGGTTAAAAGACTGTACAAACGTCCCTAGGAAAGGACAAAAAGAACATTTGGTTAGTCTTGGGTGAGTAGCACAGAGCCCAGGGTAGAGAGAATAGCACAAGCAGAGGATAAAACGTAAGTGAACATGGGTCCAAAGGCATGAATCCAAGGCTTTGCCACTGTTTTATTATTGTTGTTGTTGTTGTTTTGATTAAGGTGTATTGGCGTCAGAACCCCTGGAACTGGAGTTACAGTTGTAAGCTACCATGTGGATGCTGAGAATTGAACCCAGGTCCTCTGGAAGAGCAGCCAGTGCTCTTAAGCTGAACCATCTCTCCAGTCCTTGTCGCTGCTTTTTTAAATAACCTGTTTACTTGCCTGCAATCAGAGGGAACCATATCTTCTTAAGCATTGGGAAGCCACAGTGTGCAGGGTCAAAGACATTTGCAGCATGGTGATGTTTTAAGAGTTCCCCAGAGAAACAGATGAATGGATATATAGTTAACAGATTGTGCAGAATTAGCCACAAGATTATGGAGGCTAAATTCCACGATCTGCCATCTGCAGCCCCAAGAAAGTTGGTTAGTATGCTTTGGACCAAAATCCAAAGACCTGAGAACCAGAGGAGCCAATGGTAGAAGTCTGAAGGTCTTAGAACACTGGAGGCCTGAGGAGGAAATGGGAATGGAAAGCTACAGTGTAAAAAAGTTGGCCCAGTCCATGGAAAACCAGGAGCACTGAAGTGTGGCAGAACAGAGATGTCCCAGTTTTCATACAGAGTGAATTTACCCTGTGCCGTATGGTTCCATTGTAGTTCTCACCTGACTGGATAATGCCTGTTCACACTGGTCGTCTTTACTCAGGTCACCATGCAAATGACTTCTTCCAGAAACACACAGACACATCCAAAAATGTTTTACATCTGTTTATCCAGTGTCTATCTAGGCATCTTTTAGCACAGTCAAGTGAACACAAAAAATTAACCATCTGTGATGGTTACTTAGGAAGGGGTAGTGTGTGTGTATGAAAAGCTTCATATAACCATACACTAAAAAGTCTGTTCTTGATTTTGTAGGCTTGCCATCATTTTTTTTTTTTGAGCATATGTACGTGAACACCCAGAAACTGTATAAAGATTTTTTTATCTAAAGAGTCTTCAATTTTGCCTAATTGCAGAACCAATAACCAAGGCTATAATCCACTGTTTCTTCCAGGTTGGTGGTGTAGAGGAACTGAAGAGAGACTACAACTTAAAGATTCTGACAAGCCTTTGATCCCAGCACTGGGTGGGAGGGGGAGTAGGATAGGGTAGGAGAGGATACACATCTCTGTGAGTTCAAAGCCAGCTTGGTCTACAGAGTGAGTTCCAAGACAGCAAGACTGTTACACATAGAACACATAGAAACCCTATCTCAAAAAAAAAAAAAAACTTTCGTTGTTTTTTGTTTTTCTGCCTCTACCTACTGAATGCTGGGATTAAAGGCATGTGCCACCACAAAGGGCAACAAACAATGTATATATTTTTAAAGACTCTAACATAAAGTCAACAATAAAAAAACCAAGACAAAATTGGTTCTCCCACACCCTGATTTAGCGTTGCTTTTACTATCCACCTCACATCTCAAAAACCATAATGCTGAGAAGGTAAGTTCTCTCAGCAAAATCATTAGGGCCAAGATGCCCTCCAACCTTTCTTTCATAGTAGAAATAAAATCCTCATGTGTTCATTTGAGCAGAGACAGGGCAAACAGGGAATGTGCATCAACTCCTGTGAAGGGGGAAGTTGGAAGGATCACTCAGGAAATACACGGTGAAGAGCCTACACTGAGGCCACATACCTCTCTATCAAAGTGCATTCATGTGCAGACAGGACATAGGCTAAGCGTTCAGAGCCTGAATGAATAAAGAATTCAAAATGAGAAATGTATCTTTTTATCAAAAGGATCATTACAACAGGTCTTTGCAGTGAGTGGGGCACGATTTTCCAAGCTGCAAATGTCAGCGAAAGCTCAACCCTCCAGCCTTCTCCTAAATCAACTGCAGTAAAGCTAGCTTGTTGTTCCAGCAGGTCCCAATGTGCCCAAGTGCACCTGCAGTCACAGGCATTTCTGGCTTTTCTCCAGCTGAGCCAGAGCCCCCAGAGGCCTGAGTTATGTGAAATTTCTGCTTGTTAGAGAGCATTTGGCAGCTGATTCCTCTGAGTCTCAGCACTAATTTTAACACTTTTACATATGTGATCATGTGGTGGTGGGGGGTGGGATTGGGCAATCGAGGACACCTTTATTAGAAAAGGGAAGTCCTGGAAATTCTTTCCAAGAGTATGAAGGACTTTTTGTCAATAGAGTTGAAGGAAGTCTCAAATTATTGGTGGGGACACTTATGTAAGATAGCAAGTTATATAACAAAATATTTAAACCTGGGAACAGGGAAGGTAATAGAGATTACTTGGGAGTATTTCCTTAAAATTCTTTTGAAACAGTGCCTTTGCCTAGATCTCTCAACATAGGCCTGGTTGACAATTTGCCTCTACCTATTGTATATATGTGTGTGCATGTGTGTGTGCATACATGTATGAGAGAGAGAGAGAGGTATGTGCATACGTGTGTGGATGCAGGCACACAGAAGACATGGTACACACAGCAGTCAGAGAACTGCTCAGCTCTCAGTCCTCTTTCCACCATGTTTTGGGACAGATTTCTTGTTTGCTGCTGCAAATACTAGGCTGGCTGGCACGGGAGCATCCAGGGGTTCTTGTTTCTGCCTTCCATCTTGCTATAGGAGCCCTGGGGTTACAGGCATGAGCTACCACAATGCACTTAATTTGGGTTCATAGATTCAAACTCATGTTCTCATATTTATGCAGTGAGAACTTTTAACTACTGGGCCATCTCTCCAGCTCCTATGTGCCCTGCCCCAGACAATGTAACCCAAGCTAGCTTCAAATTTGCTGTGTAGCCAAGAATGACCTTGATTTTCCTGCTTCCAAAGTAAAGTCCATCTTCATAGTTGTATTTCCACATTCTTTCACTCAGATACTCACCCAGCCAGTATCTTCCGGTGATGCCTCACACATTCACACCCAAGTCCTTCAGAATACCTCTGGTATCTTTTAGTTTCTTTCCCACCCAACAGGACCTCATTTTGGCTTCCTGTGATTCTCTGTGTCTTTGGGACTTTTCCTTTGAACAATGTAATTCCATGCCTAGGCTGGAATGCCCTACTAAGTTATATATTCCAGGAAGGCAAAGACCACCTAGCAATTATTTTTGCTCCCCACTATTTGAAAAACACTGCCTTGCAGAGAGGAAACTCATTAAACATGTGACTGATTGGCACCCATGTTTCCTGTGCTGTCATCTTTTCAAATAATCCCTAAGAAAGTTATGGGTTCCTTGCAGGGTAGAAATTACCATCTAGGAAACCTCAAGTAGTCGGTGAAATCTACTCACTGTGGCTAATGAAATCTGAAATAGGGTACACATCTGTTTCCATGGCTTCCTAAGGACAGAGACTAGAATTTTTCTAGCAAGCATATTATTTTACCTACTTCTAAAAGAGAAAATGGTCAAGGCAATTCCTATAACTTTTCATTCCTGTCACCTATATCAATAGTTCTTCTCTGTTAGCAATTGTTCTCTTACTGTTTCTCAGAACAGGCAGAGCTCATTACTACTTCAAAATGAAAGGATGTCAGTAGCTCCTTGGGTTCTATAATTCCATCCTAAATTTCTGAGCCAAGCTGACTCTAAGCTTGTTCAAAACCTAATGGTTATGCAGATCTTGTAAAGCAGAGCTTGACAGTTAAGAATTTGAAGGCCAGTTTGGTCGAGGTGGTGACATATTCCTCTAATCCTGGCACTCCATAGGCAAAGATGGACAGATCTCTATGAGTTCAAGGCCAGTTTGGTTTAAAGTCCCAGGCTAGCCAGGACTACATGGCCAGACACTGTCTCAGCAAACAAACAAAAATCAAAGCCCAGTTTGGCCACTTACTAATTACAATGCCCAAAGGGGACTGAGGTCATGAACCTTAGTATCTCTTTCACTGCCTCTAAGGGCACTTGGATGGTTGAGAGGTGTACATGAACGTGAAGTACAGAGCAGCATTAAAAAGCACCAACTATTGTTGCTACCTGTTGGCCTTCAAAAGGCCAGTGGCGAACAATAAAGCCTGTGGTCGAAACTCTCCAGCAGAGAGTCCCCAACTTTCTTTAGGAGTCAGTCTGCCATAACACTGTTTGATTCCACGCATAAAGGACAAATGGCCAAATTAATTTTGGTGACAAACAGATCTGGTATAAAGCTACACTTTGGCTGGAAGGAAACACACATTGCCAAGAGCTGTCAAAGAAAAGAATTAGTGGATCTGGGGTCTCTTCCAAGGCTTGAATGTTGTGTACTTTCATCAGAAAGGAAGGCCCCAGGCTAAACCACAGCCTTTTAGCAAGCCTGAAGGTCACTTCCCACAACTGGGGGAACAATAGCAAAAGCC